GGAATATGCGGGGCTTTTGGGGATTACTTTCAGGAACTTTTCACCAGGGAGTCCGGTCTGAGCCCTGCTCAGTTTGATGACTATTTAGCCAACTTTCCTTGCCTTGAGACAGCTGAAGCGGCTGGGTGCAAGGGTCCCATCACAGAGTCGGAAATCTGGAAAAACAGGTTGGTCTGGATAAACCACCAGGATTAAATGGTCATCCCTACGAAGTTTGCTTGAGGCAGTCGCCCGTTTTTGTTCCTTTGCTGGAACTGATTTACAACAATTGAATGAAGCAGGGGTCTATACCTCAACGCTTCACCAGGGGTGTGATCAAGTTGCTGCGCAAGGACAAGAACGGTAGGGATGGGTTAGATAACTTTTGCCCTTTAACCATGTTAAATACAGAGTTAAAGATTTTGGCGAAGATTTTAGCCAACTGTTTGCAACTTGCCCTGTCTAGTCTGATCGGCTCCGAACAGACTTGTGCTGTGAAGGGCAGGGCTATTCAGAAAAACCTTCATATGGTACGCTTGATCTTATAACAAGTCGACAGTGAAGCCGCGCTGATCAATTTAGATCAGTCCAAGGCCTTCGATAGGGTTGACCATCGATTCCTGGAGGCTGTCCTTTCGGCGGCCGGTTTCGGGCCGGACTTTCGCACCTGGATCCGACTTCTGTATGCGTCTCCCGGTGCGCTGGTGGAAGTGAATGGGGTAAGATCGGAGCCTTTCGTATTGTCTCGCTCCATTCAAGGTTTCCGCTTTCACCTTTGCTTTACGTTCTTCGCAAGTTAAAGATGAATCCGGTCCTACGCGGAATTTCCCTGCATGGCGCTACCACCTCGGCCAGGTATTCTGCCTATGCTGGTGACGTTTCGGTTCTTGTGTCGAGCAGAGCCGGGATTGACGAAGTCAGCAAAGAAATCAGTGGTTATGAGATGGTGACAGGATCCAAGATCAACCGCAATAAGTCTGTTGACTTGCGATTGGGTGCGTGGAAGGGAGTTTCTCTTCCCGGACCTTTCCTCTGGACGGATGGGTCGGTCAAGATACTCGGCGTCTGGTTCGGTCCTGATCTCCAGCTGGATATGAATTGGTCGGAGGTACAAGGGAAGGCCGAGATCGCAGTTAATCTGTGGTCTCGGAAGAAAACTTTCCTTGAAGGGGAGGGCGGAAGTATGTGTTTCACATATCTACCCGATTCTCCTTTACCGACGCTCTGTACTTCCACTTCCGTAGGCCACACTAATGTCATTAATAAGGCACTTGTTCTCTTTCTTGTGGAGAGGCAAGGCCGCTATGGTATCTCGGGAAATCTGTTGCCTTCATCCATCTGAATGCGGTCTGGGTATGCCTAGCATTGAGATTCGTCAATATATGCTTCGCATCGCCTTCCTAGGCCGAATGTGTCGCTAATCAGATGAGAAGGGCGCCTTCTGGAAGTAAAACCCCCGTAAGAACTTCCCATTCCTGAGAAGTGTGTACTCGAGCGAGGAGGGGGCCCACCGTTTACCCCGAGCCAAATGCTGCTTCTATCGCGAATATCGTCGTGCTCTGAAACGCCTCTTATGGGCGTGGATGGCCTCCCCAACGTCCAGGCGTTGTCTCGTAGGGTATTATATCAAGTGTTAGTCAGGGGGTCCGTTCGTGATGATCTGATTGACGATCTCGATCTTACGAATCAGGAGGCTCGCTCAATATGGCCTTGGGCGCCCGAATTGAAATGCCCCAGTAACGATGAGGCATCACTCACCTGGCTGATGATCCGTGGGGACCTCTGGGTCGCCAAAAAAAATTGTTCAGCGGGCATGGAAAAATCTCCAAACTGCCGACACTGTAGTGAAGAAGTCGAGACCTTGGGTCACGCCTTCGTTCATTGCAGGGTGGTAGCGCCCTTGTGCAAGTTTGTTGAATGCCTCATGGTCCACATGCTGCGTAGAAAGTTCTTTATCCTTGAGGCCTGTTCTGTTTGTAACAATGTGATGCCGCCGATGACGAAGGCTGAACATTATGTGTTCTTGTGCTTACTAGGTGTTATGAGAGTCGTGATTTGGACGACACGTCAGAAGGGATTCTATGGAGGCGAGAAGTTCACTTCTTCCCAACTGATTTTGTTCTTTAGGCATCAACTTAAAGTCAAGATTAGAACGGAAAAGCGGCGACTCACTTCATCAGAATTTAGCAAAAGGTAGGTGAATCTTGCGCGTTTGTGTTGAATAAAAGGGACTGACCTAGAGTGGCATTTTGATGCCGGTTAGGTATCAGGATATTGTTCTTCCTGGATTGAATTTTGCCAACCCATTCCGAAATTAGGATAGTTTAGGTTTTGTTTTTGAATCCTTAGTTTTCTTTTTTCCAGTTAACTTAGCTCGGGTGTGTATGCGCATTGGCACCTTTTATTTCTGTCCCTATTTTTATTTAGTTTAATTCCCATCCCCTCACTCGTTAGGTGGTCAGTGATGTCAGTTCTCTGGTGGATGTGGGGCGCCTTTCGTTTTCGCGTATGTGTTTTTCGTATTTGTTGTTGTGTCTGAATGAGTGCGTGTCAGTGTGAGTGCTTGGGATGAATATTTTTTTATATTATTATAGTCCGGCATTGATTTTGTCCATTTAACAGATGTTTCTGCCACATTTAAGGATTGTGGGGTTTTTATTACTAACACTATTTTGTTTAGTTTCATGTAAATCATTTGTATTCATATTGTAAATACTCATTGGGGCTAGTTTTTAAAGTGTTGTTTTATCCCCCTCCCCTCACCACAAAGACAATGAATTGTACATATGGGGTATATTTAGGGTTTTCATAGAGACAATGTGGTATTATGGTGGGTGTAGTAAGAAAGGTAAGTAAGAATGCGTTGTTTTGGTGTTAGGAATAATGTTTGTATGCCTGGGTCAGTGTTTGTGGCTAGCTAAGTTTAAAATTAAGACAGATGAAGACCTTCCTTTTTCCACACCCCCTATTTGGCCATGTGCCACATTTTGTATTTTATTACAAATAAATATTGCTACCCGACCCCGTTTTATACGGGGTCTACGAGAAATTTTGGGCTCGGATACCCCACATTAAATTCGGCCTTGTGCCACATCTGACCGCATGGGGCGGTTGGTAGATATCATGCAGGAGGAGATTCATTGTGGAATTCACTTGACTCACTTGTAGCAGTTGACTACATCTTCTACGCACGGCTGACGAATCTTATGCGTTGTTCGTGTCCTAAGTATTATTGTTCATTACCAACCTTCGTGTGATTATTCTGTTCAGTAACCTTCCCTAGGTTACAACAGTTATTAATCTCTTTACGTGACTAATTCATAAATTAAGCTTTATAATTGTCATATATCTACTGACCAATTATATTTCATTTTAACTCTTAAAAAACAACACCTTATCAAATATTACTAACCTTTTATTCTCAACCTGTATAAAGGACGATGTCCATCGAGCTGTGTTCGTCGATTTGTCTTTCCGACGCCAACCTTTTGTTTTCACTCAGTTTTGACAAGGCTATAATTTTGCTGGAAGATAATTTAACTGACATCAGATAAAAGTAATTGCCAACTCCACCCCGTAGCATGAAAATGAATAGACCTATATCAGTTGAATATATATATATATATATATATTCTATGGACACCCAGGTAGAAGGAGAAGACATGGTTTTATCTTGATCTCACATGTTTCTGTTTGATAGACCAACGAATTGTTTCTTTTGAAAATCGATCTTCTAAACGAAGGGGAATCGGAAGTAAAAGAGTAGATGAGGTATTTTTGGAGATCAAGTGGCAGCAAAACCGGAAATAGGGTACATCCGTGTGCTGGTCTATATTAACAGTCATGCTGGGGATCGGGGAGAGTTCTTGTCTGCCCTTTGGCGAGAGACGTTCCGGAGTCTCTATTCGTATTCTCATGTCGGGGTGGGTAGATGGGTGAGGAGCTGGTAGGCGGAGGGAAGAGCTGACATAGCAGAAGTTTTGCAAAAATCACCTACCTACCCACCAAGAAGAGCAGGCGAAGCTCTGAAAAAAAGATCTGCATATAATATGAGAAACAGGTTTCGTGTTCTTATCTCTCAACGTAGCGTTTTTGTTTTTCATTGTGTGAACATGTGGGCGTGCATCGCGCCCTTTCCCAGCTTTCAGTACACACTGACGTACTCAAGAATCGAAATGCAACGTGGGGTAATCATCGGTCGATCGCTGGAAAGCCTGGGCGAGGTTGCGTTGTTTGGTTGCAGTGAGCTGACATAGCGTGAATCAATGTGAACACTGGTTAGTCTTCTTATAAGAAGGCAGCATGAACTAACGCATTTTGAACACACATGACAGTAGCTACCAGATTGATGAGGCATTCCATTTCTTAAATTTCTGAGGATATTTGATATCCCTCCATATCAGTCAGTTATGTATCATGCATGATACACGCTTAGGTGATCATGTATTTTTCGATACATGACTGACGTGGCAAATGTTTTCCCGCAGTAGGTTCCCATTTCTTTCTGCGATAGACCAGTTGTCATCCAAGGCTATAGAACTGTCTGTCTTGCTATTTATCCATAGCTAGTGGGGAGAAGAGGATTCATACCTTTCCCAAGGTTATTAGCATGAATGTAATGGATTCGACTGGAATTCGAACGCTGCTATCCAATTCCTGAATCCCTCTATATAATGTTTCGTATTATGCGTATTCCGGTAATACCCTATTGAAGGCATCGTATTTCTATCGTTTGAAACCTTTTAATGATAACATGAAACATATATTTAAGTGGTCTCAAGATGATATTACTCTGAGGTGCCTAAAACAAGGGGTGGCCTTGTTGCGGCGTTAAGCAGGTGCTGTTAACCCCGCAAGCAGAAAAATTACGTAGTGTAATACGATCGAAGCAAGGACAACAAAGGCGAGGATTTCAAAATCTAAGCCAAATTTTATTTAATAATCTGGCAAATGTACAGGAAATTTGAAGTTGTTCAGACGTGAAATCGGAGAGTGCCAGTCGAAGCATCGTTTGTTTTGGTTCAGGGCGGCAGCTCAGAAGCAGGCAAATGGAAAATGCTGTATCCGAGGCCCAGATTGATCCTCGGATGTTCACCCCGCAAGCGGACCGCGTCGGCGTTCACGAAGAGAGACGATCGTAGTAGGCAGTGCCGAGGTAACCTGTTCGTCCTTAAGAGGGCAGTCGCATACAAATGTGGTTTGGTAATCCTTAGAAGGAGTATTGCATATGAAGGTGGTTTAGTACTTAGAAGGACTATCGCATATGAATGTGGTTTGGTAGTCCTTGGAAGGACTATCGCATATGAATGTGGTTTGGTAGTCCTTGGAAGGACTATCGCATATGAAGGTGGTTTGGTAGTCCTTGGAAGGACTATCGCATATGAATGTGGTTTGGTAGTCCTTGGAAGGACTATCGCATATGAATGTGGTTTGGTAGTCCTTGGAAGGACTATCGCATATGAATGTGGTTTGGTAGTCCTTAGAAGGACTATCGCATATGAAGGTGGTTTAGTAGTCCTTAGAAGGACTATCGCATATGAATGTGGTTTGGTAGTCCTTGGAAGGACTATCGCATATGAAGGTGGTTTGGTAGTCCTTGGAAGGACTATCGCATATGAAGGTGGTTTGGTAGTCCTTGGAAGGACTATCGCATATGAAGGTGGTTTGGTAGTCCTTAGAAGGACTATCGCATATGAAGGTGGTTTAGTAGTCCTTAGGACTATCGCCTTAATAATCAGGAAGTTGGAACTTTTCTCACTATGCAATGAACAGAGAAGAAAAATATTTTCCAATAAAGAAACATTTAAAAAATAATTTAATTCATTTGTGAAAAAGTCCTGAAGGTTTCATTAGAATCCGACAATTATCTGATTTTTACAAGAATTTCCAAAACAGTTTTTCACCACAAAAAGGCGCTAAAATTTACCATGCAAATTTATTTTATGGCCATTCACTGACGCAAGAAAAACAAAAAATTTTACCAAAATTTCGAAGTTTTCGAAAAAGAATTAAAAAAATATAATTTAATAATCAGAAAATCCTTTGGTCTTTCCTCTTAATAATTAAAATAAAGATTTTGACGATAAAACTTTGTTTCTAAGTTTTGCTTATTTTTTTTATATGGTCATTTAAAGGGAATCTTTGGAGAGGTACATAGAAGTATTCTCATGAGAGAGCGATCTCTCTCTCTCTCTCTCTCTAATAAAATAAAGTTTTTCCCTCCTTAGACTACTACTTTCAGTCAGTAGATGTTACCTCTTTCTAATATGAACTTCAAACAGTTTATCCACTGCTTTAACCCCATTCGTCAACATATTCAAAAAATGGTATACAAAGAAAAAATAAATAATAAACCGATAAACTTGTCGAGTCATTTTAAACAAACTAGTTAAAACCAAATTATATTATATTATTTTAAATCTTGGGTATGATATGTTTTTTAGATAGATAGATAGACTGGAACAGAGATAGATAGAAACAAATTGAGAGATAGATAGATAGATAGATAGATAGATAGATAGATAGATAGATTTCATTTCATTTCATTTCATTTAGTGATGAGACTGAATACAGGCGGGCGGAATGGGTTTTAAAATGCTTTTCTCGATGTCAATTTTTTTGTGATTATGTAAAAAAAAAAAAAAACATGATTAACCAAAATTCGAACTCCTTGTTAATGTTTTGGCCTATCTATTGACATCTATTACTAGATTACCGAGCTCCAAGTAATTAAGAGTCAACTTATAATAGTAGTTCATTTATTTGTTTATCTATCTATTATTAATTTAGTTTATTTATTTATTTACAATTTACAATACAGTTTTTAAAACGATAGTTTGTCACCTCTTCCCATTCCCCTTATACGTTCGTAAACGAAGTAGTAGGGTAAAGTGAGTTTTGTTTTGTTTTTCAGAAACTAGTTGTCAGGACAAGTGGCCCAACAGTTTCTTTCATTAACATTTCTGCATTAGTATGTTTTTCTGTTCTTTTTTTTTAACTTTTTGATATTTGTGCCTCGCGGAGTCAAGAACTGTCATCCAACTTTTAACTTTTTTTTTCCCCGTTTTTTATTTTATTTTATTTATTTATTCCGCTCCATTCACAAAGAAGAAGAGAGTCTCTTTCTCTTTTTAATCGGAAGCAAAGAAGGACGAAGATATTTGGGACCAGCCAGGACGTTTATTAAACTAAAAAGAAATGTCCCAATCGAAATACAATGGATTATTTGCTGAAATTTTCCCACAATTTTCGACATCGCAATACGGATAAAAACCTAAGAAAAATTGCCGAAAAGCAGAAAAAGGTATTTTTATTTATTTTTTTTAATTTTAATTATTAGTGAATTAAGCTTCTCCTTTTTTTTTCGTTTTTTTTTTTACAGTATGTGGGTATGATTTATAAATGAATATTATTTTATTTTTATCTATTCGTTCATAAAAGCAATCTTGTACAAAGCCTCGTGTTTTCCCCCCTCATTGTTTTCTGTCAATAACTTTTTTGAATTTTTATAAACAAAACTTCTGTATCACAGACAAGTCCACTACTCTTCCCGACCCCTGGCCTTTGAAACTTTTGTTGGCAACATTAACTTTCTCTTCTCAAGGTTGTTAGAAACAAATATGATCCAAACCAAACAATAGAGAAATAGGAGGCAAACTATGGAAAGAAATAATGACTTTATCACTGTTTTAAATTTTTTTTTTGCTTCTTTTTTTTTACTCGTTTGTGTCATAAGAAAGGCGTGTTTGGCCATGTGATTACTTTTGTTTTGTTTTTTTTTTAAAAAAAAGTTTTAACATTAACAAGTTTGAATGCGGTCAAGCTGGTTTTCTTGTAATTTTAGTTTGGATTTTTTTTATGTAACTGTTACGTTCTTTAAATATGTTGATTTTTATTTTAATCATAAAAAAAAATAAATAAAAAAAAATGTAAATAACTTCGACAAGAATACGGTGACGTTGTACAATAATTTAAATTATCTCTGCGAAACAGAGATAGATGTTTTTCATCTAGATACCTAGTCTATTCTAAAGTAAAAGGATAAGTTTTTTGTTTTTGTTTTTTTTAAATGAATTTTTAAAACTGAAAAAAAATCTTCAAAAAAATCTTTTTTAAAACTGAAAAAAAATCTTTTATGACGCTTTTTTTTGTATTTTAGTTTTAATTTTATTATTTTAAATTTATTTCCAATAAGCAATCACTTAAGCACTGTATATCAAAAATATAAAAAATAAATAAAAATATTGAACGGCAAACAAACTCAATAATCAAATCATAAGATATGATTTCTTAAAAAAATCTAAAAAACTTTAAAAAAAAATGAAATTCGTATTCCGTTTTTTAATCGATTATTATGAAAAAAAAAAATCCAGAATCTAATTTTTTTTTTTTTTTTTTTATAAGGCAAGTAAGTGGTTTCAGTTGAGCATATTTTCTTTTGGCTTCCGTAGGGGATGGATTTACATAGCAAACTAGAACAACAACCTATTCTGTTTTAAAAATTTAATTTAAAAAATGATACATGACCTAGAGTGCTTACTGATAAAAAAAAAAAAAATCTGGTTGCAGTGTCTACTGTTTGTTATTTTAAATTTTACAATTTTCCCGAAAATACTGAAAATAATAGCCTACTAAAATTAAAAAAACAAATCTCAAACTTTGTAGATGTCGCAATATCCCAGTGGAAATCGATTTGTGGTTTTAAAAACCTTTTTTAAGTTAAGTTTTAATATTATAAAATTTGACTTGAAGGGTTTTTTTTTTTTTTAAGGAAGAGTTTTTAGCTCGAATTAATTATTAATTGCTTTGTTTTAAAAAGTTTTAAACGAAACAATTAATTCGAGCTAAAAAGTAAACAGAAACTATCAGCAAATGAGATAACGAATTTTTTTTTTTTTATTTATCCTCTCAATTACGTCAATTCACTCAACCTTGGAGAGGAGAGACAAGTTTGGCAAAATTAAGTCAGAGTCCGGGTCATCTGTTCAGTTTGAAAATTATTTTACCACTGATTATTTATTGAATTTTATATTGTCTGATTACGACAAAAAAAGTCATTTTGTTGTTCTTATCTTCTTAATGAATATTTCAATTAAAAATCGAATATTTACTCGATGTTTGCCAAAGAGTACCGTCATTTGTGTGTGTGTGCTTTTTTTATGAGACTAATTTTAAAAGTTATGGGTGTAAGAATAATATTTTTATTTAATTTTAAATTCCGAAGTTCTACAACACTGTCAAGTGCTATTTTTGATAGCTTTTTAAACATTTTTTTTTTTTTTTTTACTTTTTTTATGATTAAAACTTTTTTTTTAATAATCAAAGGTTTAAAAAACAAAAAAAGTAAGTACATTTATTTTTAAAACTAAAGACCAAAAAAGTACCTAAAAATAAAAATTCAATAAAACAGAATATTTTCCTAAAAATTTTTATTTTAAAAATTACTGGGTAGTTTTAAAGAAAAATTACATAAAAAAAGCACTCGTGTTATTTAATTTTTTTTTTTTTTTTTTTTTTTTTACGTTTTGAAATAAGCAAAGTATTTTGCTTATTGGAAATAAATTCAATCTATCAGATAAAAACAAGGTTTTTCATTTTTTAAAATTAATTTTTAAACCTTATATCGCCTCCATACATCGCGTCTAAAATTAATCTCAAACCCCTGAACTTTCTTTGCCTGATTCATTTTTTTCTACAAATAAACTAAAAAAGTAACTTATTATTCTAATTGAAAAAAAAAAAAAAACATAAAACAAACCTGAATAATAAACCTGTTTAAAAAGTTTCATTCCCTTATTTTTTTATATAATTAGTTTGAATAAAAATAAAATTATTTGAACGATTTTTTCAATAGATCACTTACCGCACTCCCCCCTAATGGCACAAGGCCGTGTTTAAAAAGGGTGAATCCAACGCGTACATGGGATTAACAATAAAATTGGAGATGAAAAGATTTTAAGTTTTTAGGTTTAACAGTTGTTTAACAGCTAGATACATTTACATCCGGATATTTTCGCATGGCCTATTTGGAAGGCCGAGTGCCTACATCCGAGTCATATACTTTTAAAACGTTGAAAACTTTTACTTATATCATCAATCATTTGGTTAACAAATAGCTTCTTTTTTTTTCTTATATAAACCCTCCTCAACTTTGATTTGTATGGATTGTAAGAATAATGATCGAATAAGAATTTGCTTTGGTAAATTTAATAGTTTTCATGACTTATTTTTGATTTACATTGTTTAAATTGTTATCTCAGTTTATCTACCTGTCTCGACTTCTTATCTATCTGTCTGTCTCATTCTCTTTATCGGTCTCTCTGTATTTATCGATCTACTTCTGTATATGTATCTATTCACCATGCTGTCAATTGCAAAGACAATTGCTGTAGAAGATTATCAACCATTTATTGGCAGAAATTCAACTGACCTTGATATACATTACATTAAAAATTAGTTTTTAGTATACCAATAGGTAGTTTTATTATTGTATTTATTTTTTATTATATATCAAGTTTTGTTGGTCTATCGCTCAATGTTGCCCCTCAAGGGGCTTACAGTATGTGGAGTTAGGTGGTCAGATGTAAGCAGTTATATGGTCTGACAGCCATGACTGGGTTCTCCTGCTTGTGTGGCATGGTGCAGTCTCCTCTTGCCAGGCATAGGTTCTTCCAGCATCCACCCTTTTGACCTAGGGCAACACTACCTCCTCAAGGCACTTGATGTAGGCTTCCATGTTGAGTCCATGAATGGAGGCATAACATCACCATTGCTAGTGGTCACTCCAAACACTTTCATAATCTCCATTAGACCCATCCAAATCTTTCTGAATCCTTTGCACTGTCCTCAGATTGACACCCAAACACTCTGAAATGTTTGTATTACAGCATGCCGTCTTCAAATTTATGGTAGAGTGAATTGTGTGAAGATACTCTTTTTCTGACCGACAGGTCCCAACTATACTGTGCAGTCAACAAAAACAAACAACATGCATGCGTGAAATTAAAAATATAAAATGTCAACAATTTACCCATCGCACCCTGTATATGTAGAAAAGAGAAAGAGTAGCCTCATATATGTCAGTGAGGAAGTGACTGGAGATAAAATGCCTGGTCAGGATTGATTATATTGCAGAACCGTCTTTTGATTTTGTCAATAATCTTGAGATGCACAGTAGGAGCACCAGACCAGATATGGCAACAGTATTCAATGCATAAAAGAATGGAAGATTTATAAAAGTGCAAAATGAATTCTGACTGAAAAAAAAAAAAAAAAAACTTTTTGGTATCACACAGTGAACCAACCTTCCTTGTAGAAAACATAACAATTGACTTGATATTGTTGCTTCTCTTCATGTCACTGAAAAATATGAGGCCAGGAGATACAGTATGTTGTTAACCTGGAGGTTAGCATCAGCCATGTTGATGGCAAGCAGTGTTATAGACAAGCGTATGGTTGCAAGAAAGAAATACGACAACAGTAGAAATAGATTTACGTGGTTTATTTCAACAGGAACATGAGGGTTTGGGACAGCTAC